TCACAATCTCGCCCAGCTTGAGCTGGTAAAGAATGGTGGTCTTGCCGGCGGCGTCGAGGCCCACCATGACGATGCGCACGTCGTTCTTCTTCCCCAACAGCTTGCCGACGACCTTGGAGAAGGAGAGAGCCCCGGTGCCGAGCTTCTCTAACGTGGCAAGTGGGCGGAGCCGCCGGGCAAGCTCTTGCACCACCCCGCGAGCGCCGCACAGAGCGAGCGGCGCCGCACAGAACAGGCGGCTGCAGCTCGCTTGTTCGTGCCAGGGGAGAAGCTTTGATGTCTCCTCCAGCGCGGCCTTTGTCGCCTCCTGCGCGGCCTTTGCGTCGGACCCGTGCAGGCGCACCTCAAAGACCATCGAGATCCGTGCCGTCGAGGGCTGCACGACGCGGTGCGTGCAGGCGGGAATGCGGCCGCCGGTGAGCGTCGAGAGAGCGCGGCCCGCGAGCACAACGCACTCATTCGGTTGTAGCGCCAGCCTGTGCCACTCGCCGTCGCGGCCTTGGACCTCGAGCGCACTGACGCCGTTGTCCGCAACCACGGTGACCATCCCCGGGTCCTGGTGTGCGGGGCAGGGCAGGTGGGTGCAGTCACCCTCGACCGTGCCGCCCGAGCCCGGTCGCTGCACGAGCACCCACTCCGAGCAGTCCTCGTTGCCGTCATCCTCCGGCACCCAGTCGTTTGCGGCCGGCATCGACGCTTCGTACCAGAAGACGTCGAGGAGCCTCGCGTCGTCGGTGTACGGCATGTCGAGGGCGCGGGTGGCGTTGCTCGCGACGAGGCCAAGTACGTCGCACGCCTGTGCCAGCCACTCGGCGTCGGGTCGCTGGCCGTTGACGATGAGCCGTAGCTGTGCGCGCTCTCCCTGGTAGTGCTCGAAGGAGGCGGCGTCCTCGAGCGCAGCCTGCGCGGCGCCCACTTGGCTCGCGCCCTGCATCGCCGAGCGCAACGTCGCTGCGGAGCCGGCGTCGAGGGCGATGATCACGTATCCGTGCGCCTCGAGCGAGGAGGCGACGGCTCCCACAGGGCGCGGCATCGTTTTAAGTGGCGCACGATGACGCCAGTTGCCGGAGGACGCGTCCCTGGGTGATTGATGAGACACGCCTAAAAAAGCTTGCCGGGACTCCAAGCAAGCCCATACGAAATGCACGCTCAAACAAACGACAATCGCGCGCTCAGGCGGTCCTGGGGAGCCGGAGCAGACGGCATCGGCCGCCGAGGGAACGATGGGAAGAGGCACGAGGAGGGCGGCGACCTCGACGCCTCGAAATATTTCGATCTCCGGACGCGAAGCAAAGCTCATGGTTGACGGGAGCCCGGCAGAGCTCGCGCACAACATCACCGCAGTGCTTGAGCGCGGTCAGTGCCTTTGGACGCGGCTTCGCTCGCTGCACGAGCCACGACCAGCACAAGGCAGCAGTGTACGAGAAAGACGGCGGGGCGCTCGCAGCCACTGGCTCTGCTGCCGATAACGAAGGCCCTGTCTCACTCTTACAGGATATGCTCAGGTCGGGAAACTTGAGGGGCGCCTTTCTTTGAAGTCGTCGCCGAAGCCTCTGTGGTGCGGTGGGTGCGCGAATTGAGGCATTGGTGCCGATTCTGGTCCTGCGCGACGCAACTAGAATTCTTTTTCGCACTTGTGTTAGTGCCAGTGCGCGCCAGTCCCGTGCCCAAAAAGAAAGAAAGAAAGAAAACAGACAACCCAAGGGAGGGATGGGAGGACGGCACGCCGCCACCACACAGGGATTTTAAGGAGAGGAGTCCAAATAAATAAATAAATAGAGCACGCATCTCCAGGGAGAGATGGGCGACGGAGAGAAGTCCATATAAAAACAAAATAAATAAAACGGACACACCAAACAAGGGGTGGGAGAAGGACAGGGTCCCCACCTGCGCGAGCAGGATCTTGTAAGGACGATCAGGGACACAGGGGAACGGGAGTGGGGAGCGCATCGCGACACGGAGGGGGGCTGGGGAGGAGTCCAGAAAGAAAAAAGAAAGAAAACGGACACGCCAAGGGAGGGATGGATGAGAGGACGGCACGCCGCCACCACACAGGGATTTTAAGGAGAGGGGTGTGGTGCGCTAGCCGTCGCCCAGGCAGGGGTGCCTGGGCCGCTGTGGAGCGATGTGGTCAGGGGAACGACGAGACACAAATGGGACAAGCGTCAGCGGATCAAGGATCAGCACGGCGAGCGTGAGATACAATTCGCCGACGTGGATGATCACAACGTGGTGACAAAGACCGTCATGGGAGCGCGGGTGCGGCAGCAGGCGGGGGTGCCACACGGAGCGCACCACGAGAGGATCATGCGGGGAGAGGCGGGGAGAGAGACCCCGGGCGCCGCCACGAGGAGCGAACTCAGGGGCTGCCTCGTATGTAAGGCCGCGAGGGACGCGGCGAGGAGGGCGGCACTAAAGCGGGACCCGCTGTGCCCGATCGTGCGGAAAGCCGCGCAGCAATGGACCGAGGAAGATGAGAACCCGCCTAGAGCGACAATGGCGCACTTGCTTAGCGGCGCCTGTCCGGGGAATAGGGAGCAGGCCAGATGGTTCCTCAGAGTAGCGCGAGCGCAGACGGGGACGGCGATCAGCAAAGTAGCGCAGGCGGCACCCGACTCCAAGGATACGCTGAAGACGCTGAGAATAGCGCATGTCGCTGCGCTGAAGGGCTCACGCTATAGGGTGCTGGATGAGGATGGGTACGATGCACTAGCACCAGCCGTCGGGGGGGTGTTGCCGGCGCTGGTAGATGATCTCTCGGAGAAGAGCCGGAGGGACCTTGGCGCCGGGGTCACGAGGAACTTGCAAGTCGTGGCCGAGGCGGCGACGGGAGCGGTGCAGAGGTGGATCCAGCTCAATGATGAGGCTACGGCGCGCATAATGAAGAGAGAGGAACACATCGAGTGGCTGAGGAAGCTCTTCGCTGGGTGGAAGGAGGCCCGGCCAGCCTTGAGGGAGTCGCGGAGGAGGAGGGATAATGGAGGCAACGTGCAGACAGGCCAGCAGCCAGTGGGACGAACGAGGGCCGCGACGGCGGCTCAAGCGGGAGGGAGCGGAGACGGTGGGCAGAGAGCGAAGTGGGTGAGACTGATGATGCTCCTTCGACTTAGGGAGCGGTACAGATGCTGGGCGGGCTTCAGGCTGGTGCTCACGCGAACAGGAATCGACGCGATGTACAAAGCATACAAGAAGGGGAGAGGGAAGAGGAGAGACGCCGGTGAGGACGAAGCAGAAACTAGCGCAGACGAGGGCAGGGCAGACCCGGGGACTGGGGAGCCGGAGCAGACGGCATCGGCCGCCGAGGGAACGTTGGGAAGAGGCACGAGGAGGGCGGCGACCTCGACCGACTATGGAGGACCCGTCGCCAGACGACGCAGGGCAGAAGACGGTGAGGCGGAGCAGACGCGCAGGGCGAGACGAGGGAGGGAGCAGGACTTTGCGGAGATCAGCAGGAGGATGTACGAAGAGATTAGGAGCAGCAGGGACCCGAGGGACCATGTGGAAGACGGCTAGTGCTAGCCCCCCATCGGGAGGACGACCCCGGCTAGTCGCCGACCACACCCACAAAGAACCCTGCACAAAGATCGCAAGGGCGGGGGCCTGTTCCTTTTTACCCATCTCACAGTAGAGAGGTGTCCGTTTTTATTTATTTAGGAGTCCAGTGTGCGGCGAAAATTCTTTTTCGGGGAACCAAAGTCGGCGCTGAGTCGGCGTGAGATGTGGTTCCCGTGGTGACGACCCACGACACCGCCGAGCCAGCTGCGTGCGAGGATCAAGCAGCGCGCCTTGCAAGCGACTCTCACCGCCCACTGCTGGCATGGCCAACGACGATGGAGCGCGCGCCCGACCCAGCGCATACGATCTCTTCCTGCGACGCGCTGTCCTTTGCCTCAACGTTCCTTTCGCCATCCTCTCTCTCTGCTTCCTCGTGCTGATTGCCGCCAACATCACGACAGAGCTGGTCCTGACCTCGTGCATCATTGGCGACAATGTCTCGGCGAACCTCGACGACCCAGAATGCGTGGATGAACTCCAGACGCTGGCGACTTGGCGGGAGCTCTACCTCCAGGTCGACCTCGGCTTCCTATGCGCCTTCATCGTGGAGATCGCTCTCGCGCTGGCCGTGCAGGGCCCGCGCCAGTTTCTGTGCGGCAAGCAGCACCGCCGCATGGACGACCGCGAACCATCGCTGCGGCGGCTGCTCACGATCCGCGGCCCGCGCGACCTCGAGGCAGAGGGCGTGGCGCTGCGAGTCATCGACGCGTTCGCGGTGCTCATCTCC